TAGGAGCAGCCTGTGGTGTAAATCAAAAACACGAGTGTTTGTTTAAGAAATAAGCTCCTTCTGTATAAAATGACTTTTTTTCTTTAAAGGGGGGGGGAAGCATCCCTGAACAAAATGAGCTGGTACTGAAGCTGTGTCCCTCCACAGAGATTCCCTTGCCTCTTCTGCCCATACCTTTTTTGAAGGTATAAATGGGCCTTTTTGTAGGAAGTTTTATGCTTTTCCTTATCAGAAAAAAATCCCTTTCTCAACGGCCTCTGCTTGTTTTTATTGCATTTTGAACAGTCAGCTCTGATTTTTATGGGCATCTTTTATTCTTGTGTTTATTAAACTTCTTCACATGGGGGTAGAAGTAAGGGATAAATTATTCTCTGGTAGTTTTTGAACTGAATAGGCCCACATGGTCTTCCTCAAATACATAACTCAGTGTCCTGAAGCGTGTGCCCTGTCCACTTTGTATGCAGGCTTCTGGATTAAAAGGTTTTGAGAGCTAGGAAGTTCTTGCTGGGCACTGTGTTCCCCAGATCCCAAAGTATAAGCAAAAAGATTCCTCTGTGGGAATTAGTGTAGCTTCATGTGCTTTCTTTGAACTCCAGGGATCTGCCTGTTACAGGAAATTATTTAGCGAGTGTAGTTGTGTGCTTGTTCATTTCTTTTATTAGCAAGAAGATGAAGACGGCTGAATTTGTACATCCCTGCTCCAGTGATAAAGGGTAGGGGGTTTCATTTAGGACAGTTGGGTAAGGAGGGGCTGGGTTCATAGCAGTACTTTCACATGCCCTTATGAATTTTTCAAATCCCACTTAAAAGGGGGTCTCTAGCCATTCCACAGTTACCTGCACGCTCCTGCTGCTGCTCAGCTCACTGGCCTGGGACAGCCAGGTCGCGTAGGAGGCTTTCACCTGGGACCTCTTTTTGGGGGCGGAACTTTTTTTTTTTTAAAAGGCAAAAATTCTGAGCAAGCTGTCACATAGGTTTTCTTGAAGTACAGTGAAATCATAAATGCAAGATTGTTGTAAAGAGAATGGACCTGGTAATGGATACGTATAAGCCTCCGGGTGTGTAGGTTCCTATTGTTACGGTGTTTGGGGGAGCAGCTGAAGGGAGGGACAGGGTGCCGATGTCTTTTTCTTTAAGCGTGTTAATATTGATTTTAGAAGCTCTGTGTTCCAACAATATAAATGCAAATGCCTTGTAATTGGGAGCTGCGTGCAGAATTTCTCAACAGAAAACATGTTCAACTTTTCATGACAATGAAAAGAAAATAAAAAGCCGCTTATTTATTGCTGGTGGCTTGAATCCTGGGTTTCCTTTCAAGTTACTTTGCAGTGCTAAATAAAATACCTAATTGCAGTGCTCACAAAATTCAAATGGGTACATTTGTTCTTTTGGTAGCTTGTGGCTATTTGCAGCCTCTGGACGCCTTCAGCATTTTTTCAGCACATCCGTAACTTCTGGTTGCGCTGTAAGGAAAAGCTGGGAGGGGGAAGGCTTAGAAGTCCCAAATACCGCTGGCACAAATCGCCACCGAAGTTGGAATGTGTACTCAGTGTTGGAAATGGAAATGGGTGAGAAGCTCAAGGTAACACTTATGGATGATCAGACTCTGATAAAAGAAAGGAAGTGTCAGTGAACTTCTTCCTTCTAATTCCCTTGTGCTGCTCTCTTCCACCTTTCCCACCTGGGAAGAAGCAGCGAAGGTCCTTGATGGTGGAGATGGAGCTGAGTGCGTGGAGCTCACCGGGCTGCTGTGAAATGTGAGAGCGCCCGGCTGCCCTCCTGCATCATGGTCTGTTGGGGGGTTGTGTGTGTGTGTCTAAGTGCTCACCATTTCATAATAATTACTAATGAAATTCTAGATCTGTAATAACATTTTGGATATCTAAAACAAACCATATGCTTGTAAAAAAAAAAAAGAATAAGTGGGAACAGATCAACTTGAAGTCATAAATTCTTGGTAATAGAGGCCTCTTTCCACTTCCCCCCCCCCCCTTTCTGTTTATGTTTGATAGATATTTTTGTTTCTGCAGGAATGTCAACTCTTAATTTCATGATGTATCATGGGCTTAAGAAAATTGAATTTAATAAAGGCAAAAGATGAATGGCACCTTTAAAGGTCCCAACACTTGTCTTTATTAGCAGGACAAACTGCAGGGTCTCCAAACACTGCTTCTCTCCAAATGAAAGTTTAAATGAAAAGTACAGCAGTGTCACAGGTTAAATTTCATTGCAGGACTGGCTAACGTCGTTAGTGAGGAGTGGGGCTGATTTCATGGGGCTGGTATCTGTTGCCTTAGATACCAGTGGAGCAAACACTGCCAGAGACTGGAAGAATCTCCGCTATAGGAAGTGTGCAGATAAACAGCCTTTTGGGAAAGGTCCTTTACCACTTGCTTCAAAAAGTGACCAAATAAGCCCAAAAAGCGGATGCACTTTCTCCTGAGACGCTCAAGTCGCTCCTGGGGTTCCAGCCCTGCTCCTGGCTGCACGCTTCCCACAGAGCTGCAGTAATTCTGGATATTGTTAAATTTTCTATGTATTTTTAGTACAGCTTTTATTTCCTCCGTCTTTCTTAGTCCGACCCTCCTGGAAGTGCTTTTTGTCTTTGGTTCTGGAGGGTGAGCGATGCCTTTGTGTATCAGAGCGGTGGCAGGGCTGTCTTTCAGTCTCGCTTGCATCCAGCCACTTGATGGCCCCTGAGGATGTTTCTGGTCCCTTAGGACCGATCTCGGCGTTACAACGCAGCCCTCCTGTGAAATCCAGCTGGTGCCTGACCATCTCTGGGAGGGGGAATGCTTGTTTTGCCCTCTGTGGGCTGCCTGCTTCCCCGGTCACCCCCTGAGCGTGGTGCCAGACCTAAGGGGCAACGAGCCACCCCAGCCTGGTTTGAAGGATGAGGTGGTGTTATCCTGGGGTTAAGCCTGTCTCTGTTATGACATCTTGTCCATCAGCTTCAAACTTTGCAGTCCGTTTTCCTTCTGAACATAACTTGCTGCATTCAGAGCCTACCGGTGGTAGCTCTTTCGAGGGGCGGATCACCGTTTTTTACTCAGATAGAATTTCTCATGTTTCTGTGGGTTCTGCCAGCTGTGGCTGAGGCTGGTGAGTTTGGCTGCACCACCACAGGCAATCTGGGTGGTGCTCAGGTGTTTTGCCTCTGTCCTCCTCCCCTTCTAGCCCATGGGTGCTTTCGTCTCTTTCCTGGGGAAACTTGGTGTCTCCCAGGGACGTGGTACAGCCGTGGGAAGGATGCACCCAAACCTCCGCTCTGCCGTAGCCTGCACAGCACACACCCAGCGCGGCACAGCGGACCGTGGGGAAATGGTTAAGCCTTGCATCCTCTGCAGCTTGACTGCTACACCTGGGCACTTCATTACTGTTAACACTTTATTTTGTTTAAAATTTTTTTTTCTAACTTTCCACTTCAGCGGCATGTGCTCCCCACATGCCCTGGTCTGGGTGATGTGCCTGCTGCTCCAGGGAGCTGCTCTGCTGGGCCACGGGCTCTGTCCCCATGGAAATTGGGTATTTAAATTATTGGCTGGCTATTTAAATTATTTGTTGCTTCCATTTACCCATCCAGCTTCTTGCCCTCTATCTGCCTGCTGGGGTGGTGATGTCATCAGCTCATATGTATGACCTCACGACAATTTCGCCTGCAGGTCACGAGGGTTGCAGCCAGGGTCCAAAAACTACGTTAGTTCCTCTGCAGTGGCTGCATTTTCCACATGCTAATTTTACTCACAGGAGTTGGATTTATTTTTTTATTTTTTATTATTTCTTATTTGTCTCTTCCAGATGTTTTCAGGCAGTTTTTTTTGTTGTTAAACTAATTCCATTCATGTTTTAAAAATTTATGAAAGCGCTAATAAAAATGTCAAAGTGGTAAAAATGTTAGCTTTTGCTCTGCTTTGATTAAATTTTGCAAACTGTTTTTGAATATTAAAAAGCAATATTTTTTTTATTCTCTCTTCCTCTCTCTCTTTCTCCAGAAGTGATTTGAGAGGCTCGTTGCATGGATATCACTCAGCGGGCTCATTTGCACTCCAGAACCTTGGTGCCATGCATCTCTATTAAATAACATAGACAAATTATTCTTTAAAGACACCAAACAAATTGTCACTTCTTCTCTTACATTAAACTGGAAGGAGGAGAGGGAGTGGAGAAGGAGGGGGTGAACACAAAGGATTTTATCGCTTTTATTCAATGGTCGGCTTTTTTAATTTCATGTATATTTTTTAATAATTGAGAAATCCATAGCAACTGGATTTGTTTAAACTTTTTATTAACAGGTCCATGTAAATTTTTGATTGCTGATTATTCAAATAATTGAACATTCTTCTGATGAGGGAACATTTTTATTTCCCTATCCTCATAAATTGGCTACAAACAGTAAAATAAAGCAGGGTTTGCTACTGTGCCATATCCCATAGGGATGTATCTGGCGGGGGGGCTTCCAGCTCCTTTCCTCTAACAGATCTCCTCAGCCTCCCCTGGGGAGGAGGTGCTTCATACAGTAGCTCCTGTGGTCTGTTTGGTGGTGTCCTCCAAAAGGAGAGTAAGGTGGAGATGGTGGGACCGGTCTTGGGGAGGACACAGCCCCTGGGGTGTCCTTGCTAAACAGATCGGAGCCCATTGCAAGTGCATCTCTACGTTCCCTGGATGGTGCCAGCATGTGCAAGTGGTGCCAGACCATCTTCCTTAGGTTTGGCTTAGGCAGCGATGTGTGTGGTTGCAGCGCTGAGCACAGGGACATCCCTGCTGCCCGTCCCAGCAGGGATGAGCATTGGCACCATCCTCCTCCATGCTCACAGTGTTGGATGTGCTCTGTGCTCCAGCACTACTTTCCCCCTGGTAGTGCAGAGCTTCATGTCAGACTTATTTTTGTTTGGGACTGTCAGATGCCTCTTTTTACAGCCAACTTGCTAGGCAAGATCATTTCCAGCATAATTTTTTGTTTGTTTTAAATGAACAGCTGCTTTTCTTTTTGCCCTATTCAGGAAATCATCGAATTCCCTATCCTGAAGCTGAATGGCAGGACGATGGAGATTGAATCCACCTTTCACATGTATGTTCAGCCTGTGGTGCATCCCCAGCTTACGCCCTTCTGTACAGAGGTAAAGTGCAAAGGTTCCCCAGTGCTCCAAGAGTCTCCCTGGGAAGCAAGTTTCCATTGCACCGGGGTTGGGTTCACCTCTTCACGTTCAAGGCAGGTTGTCATGCCAGCCTTGAGTTAAGGACAAGGGGAATAATTTTTTGTCATTGCAGTAGCACGTAAAGACCTCCATTTGGATTCATAAATAACCCTAGCTATTATCTGCTTACTTAAGATAATTGTATTTATGGCTAACGAATGTCTAACTGGGTGACCACAAAGTAAAAGCATGTTAGCTGATGCTTAAAATCCTGTAGCCTCTCTGTGAGCTCTTTGTGATTTTGCCGTGCTGCTCTTTGGTGGGGAAGGTCAAAGAGAGCATGGTCAGAGGGAAGAAAGTGTCGTACAGTTGCATGGTTCAGAGGCTCTAAATGACTCTCCTGTGGGCCTGCCTGTTGGGGCTTGATGCGTCCTTCAGAGTGGTCAGATAACCCATGTCTGTATTGTTAAGACTTTCTTTTTGATGCTGTGCTTGTGGGGCACTTGAAGTGATTGCTGGAGAAGTGGCCTCTTGTTACTTGGTTGCTCTCATTGCTGAGGACAGCTGCTCTCGAGCTGTGGCCACCTTTCCCCAGATACAGATGAGAGGATGAAGGTGGTAAATGCAGTACCTGAAGGCTCAAAGGAACAGGGAGGGGTGGGGATTGGTTTTTTGGGGTTTTGGGGTTTGTGTGTTTTGGTTTTTTTTTTAATTCAATACAAGAAGGTAACTGTTTTTGCAAGTGCGTTCTTCCTCCCTGCTGTAACCATCAAAACAAAGTTTAAGTTCTTTTGCTTTGGGCTTGTTTTCCTGTCACTCTGTTGGTTCGATGTTGGCCAGCTCAGAGACTGAAGTACTGGTTGTGGGAGTCAGGGTATCCAAGTTCTTTGTTCTGTCCCCATCTCATCTGGGATCATCAACACCGTGGTGGTTTTGCCCGACCTCCGTGGCTGCAGGTTTAAGCCCTTGAAGTGCTTGTCCCATGTGTACTGACTTGAAAAATGACTCCTCTGTGTTAGGTGGAGTCCCCTCCAGGACCAACCAGCCCTTTCCATATTTCCATGTTGTAAAAACAAATACTTTTTTTTTATTCTCTTGTAACTAAAAACCATCTGAAGGTATTTTATTTAAACTTTTTTTAAAAAAAAAGCACTAAGCACAGAAAACATTATTCCCAGGAGACAGACTTTCAGAAAGCTATGAATGTGTGAAAACAGAGGGTTATAATGGAAACAGTTTTGCAATGTTAATGCTAGAAGGCTGGACAACTACTTTGGCTGTCCTTATCCCTATGAGACTTGCTGGACATATGCTTGTACAAATGTGATAAATTTCACAGCTTGCACCTGATCTTTGCTAAAAGCAACGTCATCTTCTAAATTAGAGCCCAAAATGTCCATTTTGCATGTCATCTAAAAATTCTAGAGAGAAGTAATCTCACTCATTAACTCCCACCAAAATTCCTTTTTTCTGGAAATTCCTCTGCTGTGTCCTTCCCCCCACTGCTAAAGGTTGCGGCTCTGTTGGTGCGGGACAGTCTGCATGACTTGCTTGGTGTGGCTGTGCGAGCTGAATGGGGCCTCCAGCCTGAGGATGTTGAGAGGTTCTCTGGATGCAGAGCTTGTGACTGAGACATTCAGCCCATCTAATGCTCCCACACCACAGTGCTGGTTTCTCTGTCTTCTCTTGCTCACGGGAGCCTGGAGCAGATGTTTCTGTCTCTGCAGGTTTGTGTCTCCTGCGTGGAGCCCTCAAGCAAGCGAAGCCGTGTGTGTGTGCTGGCTGTGTTTGCAGGAGTCCCTCTGTGTCCAGAGTTGGATAAAAGTGGGCAGTGCTGAGGCCAGTGGGCAAAACAATCGCAGAACCCCCACTGGTGTGTATCAGTGGCACAAAATGGTCCAACTCGCCAGGTTTGACAGTTTCTCTGTTATTAGCAGTGTTGGTTAGGGAGCTGGTTTTAATCCTAGCCTGGAAGCCACTGTCTCCTGTACAACCCCCTGCTGCACCCATGCCTGCTGCAGGGGCTCCCATGGTGTCCAGGGAGTATGATCATGCTGGAGGGGTAACTGGGCTTGTCCCTGGGCCCTGTATCTGGGGATGACTTTGAAACCCTGCCACAGGTGAGCTCGTTGTACTGAGGACCTTACAAAACAGTTGCAAAAATATCCTTTCATATTTACAGCCACTTTTTTGCGGAGGCTGTAGTGGCTGTATAGAGACCTGTGGGGTCGGTGGCTCCTGCTAGGCAGGCGCAGGGGTCAGCCCAGTGCCCCTGGTGTGGGTTCCCTTGAGACCCCAGGGACACAGCTGTGGCGTGTAGTGTGTCCCGCTCCTGCAGAGCCACTGCCTGCAGAGCTTCAGCATTTGCCGTTGACTTTCAGCTGGTTTATGTTTTCTGAAAAATACCCATTTTGCTAAATGCCAGTAAAGGGCTTTGTCTAGGCACCTCTGCTTCCAAAGGGTGAGATTTATTGGCCTCTTTGTCTACAAAGAAAGACCAGGCCTGATTATCAGATTGTACACCAGAGACAAGTGCTTAGGTAATCAGCAGACTGTCTTGGAGTAGAAATACGATGGTTTCCCAGATAAACTCTGTAGGAAAAGCAGTGGTGTTGACACTACACGGGAACCTGTCTGCTGTGCTGCTGCATTCCCCTTCCCCCTCTGCTCTCTGCCTTTGCTGGGAAGCAGTAGGACTGCTTGGGATAGACTGTATGTGGGAAGATTACCAGGGTTGAGCCCTCTTCCTTCTTGAAGAAGACAACACAGCACAGAAAGGGTGTCTGCAAGGGTGGAGAGCTCATGGTCACCCTCAAGGCATCCTTTTGCTTAGCTTTTGGTGTGTCTGTGCTCTCCTCTGGCTCCCCGCAGCAGTGGCCAGGAGCACCTCTTCCAGTGCTGGCTCTCACTCTGTAGCCCTTATCTGATCCGCTTTCTCTTGACCTGCTTCTGTAAAACAAGAGGTCATGAGGCTTGGTTATGATGAGGGGTGTGCTGAACGTTTAGACAGAGAAGGTGGAAAGTGCTTGCAAGTGGTTAAAAGCTGTTGTTAGGTATATAAAGCTCATCATGCTCTTTTGGAAGATGCAAGTGGTTTGTTTGATGCCCAAGAAAGCTCATGCCAAGAGCTTAAGTGAAAGGTTCCCTCTACACAGAAGGTGCTTGTACAGGCTTTTTCATGGTACTTTGCTCTCTTTTTATTATTAATTTTTATTGATTTTTTTTTTCCCTGAAGGAACAGACAATAAAAGTACAAAAAGATAAATGCCTTATAGCTTGTTTGTATTCCCAAGTACCATGTGCTGCTTGGGATTGCCAGTGAAACTTTACAATTGTGCAGTTTTATGTTTCTATTCTTTAGTAAAGCTGCAAGACCAGATAATGCTGCTGAGACCCAGTGCACTAGGTTGGGTGTTACAGATGGACGTAACTGATAACAGAAAGGGTAAGAAGGGGTGAGAGAGTAGAGATCTGGTCCCTTTTGAGCACTCTGACCTGTATTGAAATGTACCCATGGAACAGGTATATCCGTTTTTATTCACGTGTGCAGTTTCTGCAGCATGAATCTTGCATGGATGTGTGATTGGCGATGTGTTCTTGTACAGGTAAGTTGGTGCGTTGCTTGACCTGGCAGGAAAGGAGGGAAGGAATCTTGGGCAAGATCAAGTAGTAACTCTTCTATGGGATCTCTGCATCTACCTTCCCATCCCTCCCTCCCTCCTGATGGGAAATGTCTGGATGAGGCAATTTCCCCCTGTCCTCCCATAGCCGTCGGGTGTGGCGCTGAACAGATGCAGTCCTGAAGGTGCTCAGTGTGGTAGAAGCCATTTACATCAGTGCTGGCTGATGGGGACAGACTTTTTAGTAGGGCCTGTTGCAACAGGACAAGGGGTAATGGTTTTAAACTGAAAGAGGGTAGATTCAGACTAAATATAAGAAATATTTTATGATGAGGGTGGGGAAGCACTGGAACAGGTTGCCCAGAGAGGTGGTAAGTGTCTCATCCCTGGAAACATTCAAGGTCAGTTTGGACGGGGCGCTGAGCAACCTGATGTAGTTGGCGATGTCCCTGCTTATTGCAGGGAGAGTTGGACTAGATGACCTTTAAAGGTCCCTTCCAACCCAAGCTATCTATGATTCTATGGTACTTTCCCAAAAGCTTATCTTTCAGCCACTTCCAGAGGTTTGGTTTGAGCTGTCCTTTGAGAGGCAGAGTCAGTGCTTTGCGGTAGGTGAGCTGTCCACCTCTGCCAGGTAAATGCATGAAGAGAAAGATAGCAAGAAAAGCAAAAAATAAACCAGTGAGCTTTAAAAGCTGCTCTGCAGAGCCATGTGTTAATCTCTCGAGTCTATTTGCCTCTCAGAGTATAGGAAGCCTGTAAGTAGCAGCTGTTACCCAATTAAAATACAAATTAATATAAAAATAGTTTCTGGAATATAAAAGAGTGTCTGTGTCCCTTCACTTCCTTAAAATTCCACCTCATAATGACTTGATGAACTTGAGAAACCCACCTAGAGGAACTCTGCATTCTTGAAATTAAAATACTTTCCCTAAAAGGTATATATTACCATTCCATGGAAGTCACTATGAGAAAATAATCTTTCCACTTAGAGCTTATTCAGTGAGTCAGGTATTTGGTATTCATTAAATGTAATTACAGTTTAATTGGAGTTTAATCTCTTTTTTTTTTTTTTCCTTCCTTATTCTGAGTTTAGTGTTCTAAGCCAAGCAGACGAAGAAACAGAGAGGTAGAAACTGTTAAGCTTCTTTCAGTTGCCACACATTTAATAAAGCAGAGACCTGTGGTTTGTGAGAGGGCTTTTATTTTACGAGTAGGTTGAGCTGATCTGCGTGGAAGAGTTACTCCTGGGTGGTGGTGGGGCTGTCAGCACCTCTCAACTGGACACGATGACTTCTGGAGGCTTGGATGCATGTGCAGGCAGCAGGGCATGCTCCTAGGCTGTGTTTGACCTTTATTTTATGAAAAGGTGTGAGATGTGTAGCATCAGGAAAGTGCCATATGAAGTGAAATCCTGTAGTGTGCAGTTGTTTTAATAATGATTTTTTTAATTACTTGGGTACATTGATGGCAAGCTACTGACCTCCGATATTCAATATGTTAAAAGACAGTTTTGGCAGTTGGAAGGCAGACAGAAAAATTATCTGTTTTCCATGTGCCTCAAGCTATCCTGGGCAGACAGAGGCAGAGGCCCATGAGACTGCATCTTTTTATGTGTGTGTCCAGCTCTAAACAGCCAAGCAGTCCGGGTAGAGGCAGCAGGACTATCTGTTGCCACGACCTGTTCCTAAAGAACCTTGTGAAAAATGGGTAGACCAGGGTTCTGGAAGAAAATGGTTTTCTTCAGATTCATTCAGTTGTTTTAAATACAATTTTGAAATGCAGTGGGATGCTGTGATAAACTATGGGAAGGCTGGGGTGCTGGCTGCCCAGCGCAGGGGAGGATGGCTGGGTCTGCTCGGGGTCTCACTTACCAATAGAGGTCTGTTCTCTTCATCCAAAACTGCGGTTTTGGTGTCACTGCAGTAGCAGGGGAATGGCCCGAGATCCCAGTAGCTACCGCTGCCTGTGTAAGTCAGGGCAACATCAGAACTGGTGAAATGTATGTTGAAAAAGGGCAGCATTTTGGGCATCATGCTGGTACTTGAAGCCGAGGGCAGCACTGCTCCCCAAATGGGTTCTGCCCTGCTGAGAGTTTGCTGTTTGTGGTGTGGGTAGGAGCCCCTATATATTTCTGTGTTTGGGATGAAGCTGTGCCCTTGCCCATGGCTGGGGAGCTGCTGGGGTCGCTCTCCTGTGGCTGGCTCCTCAGCAATGTCCACGCAGGTCACAGGAGCATGTTTTGGTTGCAGCGAGATGGACAGGAGAGGAGACCTCTCTAATGATCTTTTGAGTGCTGCTCTGACGCCTGCTTTCTGTTTGTCTCTCGTTTCAGCTGACTGGGATTATTCAAGGCATGGTGGATGGGCAGCCGAGCCTCCAGCAAGTGCTTGAGGTAAGCAGAGTAACCTTTAGTTCCCGAACTCTGACCTCCGGTCCTGTCGTCCCCTCTTCATCTCTTTCACTGCACCCTCCCCTTGCTGAGAATCGAACCGCGTAATTTGACTATGATTACAGCTTCATTAGAATAACATTTGCTGTCACGTTGGTGACACACTGCTGAGAGTATTGAACCATTGATCTGTCATCTCCAGCTGTTCATGTCAAGGGTGCTGACAAGATATCCAAACTCCTGCCAGTAGATAGGAGGAGAGGCGATTCTTGCTTGAGCCAATTTTAAAGCACCAAGACATTGCTCGAGACCACCGCTCTGGGAGCTTCTGCCTTTGTTTTCTTTCCCCTCCCTCAGCACTTTATTAAATTAATTTTTTTCTACCTATTTAAATGCTCAATAATATACGTAGTATAGAAAGAAAATGCCTCTAAAATCTAATCTGGAGGATGTGCGAATGCAGATAGAGCCCTAATAATGCCATCTGCTTAATGTTGAATTCCTACAGCATTTAGGGCTTAATTAGCTTGGAAGTATTTCTCCATCAATAGCTTTTGTTGGTAGTCAAATAGGGAAGGAAACCTCCTCAAGCAGAGCCTTCTTGGGCTGCAGGTTGCTGTTCGATGCATTGCCTCTGTCAGGATTTCCACTGCTGTGTTACCTAATTGTTCCTAATCAGAATAATTACAACAGTTGCTTATCTGAGGAAATCAAATTAAAGGCTTTAAAATCCTCCATGGAGGCAGCGCTTCATGGGTGCTCACATCAGGGACTTTAGAAAGGTTACAGCTGCTGTCCCTTGTTCCGGGGAGCCTTGTATGGGGCTGGCTGAAAGGTCCCAGCAGCCCAGGGGAGGCAGGAGCGTGGCTGGGAGGCTGGATGCTGCTTTGGGAGAGCTTTACTCCAGAGGGCTGTTGTACCATCAGTCACAGAAAGAAGTGCCATCTTCTGCCAGAAAGGCTGCAGCAGTGACACAAGGCCAAAGACGGTGCTCTGTGAAGGTGACATCTTGCATCTATGCAAACCCCCAACTCTGCCCGGTGCTCTCCAGGGAGCACGTAGCAGCGGCGCGTGTCTGTAAGCGTACGGGTGGCTGTGCCTGCTTCCCTCTTTGCCTGGATGGGTTGAACGTACATCACCGCTAGAGTATTACAGAAAATGCTTCATTATGTTTCTATGGGAGCTTCTTAGAGTGTGGAAACATTTCTCTAGATTTCTTTTTTATTTGGACCAAAAAGGTGTTCATACAGCAGCATGTTTCTAGGTTAAAAGGAGATTCAGGTCAGGCAGCTTCTGGGGCATGCTAGTTTATTCAGGAGTGGAAGGTGTTGAGCGAGGGAAAATAGGAGGGATTTCACTTACTGAAGCACTGGAAATGCTGCTGGTAAGGGCTAGTAAGGCTGCGGAGTAGCAGGTGATTGCCTGTCACCTGCCTCCAGAAGATTTTGGTCATGTTATTTGCTAGTTCTAGCTGCACTAAGTGTCTATGCAGGGGTTTTAGTCTAGGTTAGTTCCTCCTGGTTAATCCCCACGGTGGATGTGCATCCTTCAGATTAACATGGCCCATTTCTGAACTGCATCCAGAAAGTCTGTCCCTATGGGAAGTTTATCAGGAATAGCGGATTCACTTTAAATCTGCACTGTACCCTGTACAAGCACTTCCTTGGAACTGTACGCAGGAAAGAGAGACCCAGCCTGGAAAAGAAGGGGATGCATTGCTTTGGTTATTACTGCCACATGATGCCTGTGCGTGCCCAGCCCTTCCATTTCTCCCCCTCTCCCATATCCCCTTGGAGCGTATGAATTGGAGCATGTGAGGGATGCCACCCCAGGATGCCCGTGTTTTCTCCTCACTAGAGGGGACACAAGTTACGCTCGCTTGTATGAGCCCGTTTGGTACAGAGAGAGGAAAAGTGGAGTAGGAATGCCAAGTAATAGTGCAGTGGTATTGTCCCGTTAACACTGCAACTTCCATCCCTCCATGAGCAGAGCTGCTGTGGTGTCTGATAAGATCATCTCTGCTCTGGTTGCCTGATGTCTCCTATCAGAAATCTTCAAAGGTCCAAACGTGCTGTTGTTGAGATGGCAAGTAAAGAGAGAAGAGAGAGAGGGAGAGGGTGGATAAGATCACAATTTTCTTCTCTCTTGATTGCAAGCAGCTTATCTGAGTTTAACTGTTGTGGCTCGGCCTGTCTCTGCAAAACTCATCCTCTTTTCTTGCCTTCCTTTCAGAGGGTTGACGAGTGGATGGCGAAGGAAGGCCTCTTAGATCCCAGCGTCAAGTCGATTTTTGTGACCTGTGGAGACTGGGATTTGAAAGTGATGTGAGTATGGAAGGGGAGGGAGATTTTTCTGGGCTTTATTGCTCCATGCTTGCCTGTAGCGTGTATGTCTTTGTGCTTACAAGCCTCCAGCTGTCCCTAGTCTTTGTTTCTTAGGGAAATCATTGTTTGCCATGCATAATTGGGAGTGCAGGGTTGTTTAAGAAGACAGGTAGGTGCTGGGCATAGTGCAAGATCACTGCCTGGGATATTCCCTATAACAAATTAATCCTTTTAGAACCCCAAGAAAGGTTTAAACTGGATCTTTGTGGTGTTTTCCCTTTTATCCAATACGCGTTCCAAAGGGATGGATATTGCTGAGTGCATATGTGGAACTCTGTTTCTGTGCACCTAAAGCAAGCGATGGTCCTTACCTGACTTCTGCATACAAGGCTTTCTCATCTTGGCATACTAACTGGATGTGAATCACAGAGTAGTCTTTGGAAGTCTGGCATGCTTCATCGGTGTTCTTACTGTTAAGGTCATCGTCATCAGCTGAGTGACTGTGTCTGGAGAGTACGAGGTGAGGACCTGCAGTGGGATCTGCAAGTGTCAGTGTATATGTGTTTTTTGTTATGAAAATAGCTACACCACCAACCTAAAAATGTTATTAAAAAAAAAACCGGAATTAAATGTCTAAGAATTAGAGTAGTTTAATCTGTAAGGTATTTGCAGATCAGTGTCATATTGTGCTAAATTCACTTGATTTCCTGTAATCTCCCTTCAGCTTTTAATTTCCTCAGAGCATTGGGTAAAGACTCTTGTTGTTATCACACCAGTAAAGCATGAGCTTGACACATCCAGTGCTAAACTGACATCCACAACTCATTAGCAGTGTTACTTGGTTTTCTGTGTGACATTGGTTTCCCCAAGTTGGAAGCCTAAATAAACTGCACACAGCCTGGGAGCAATCAGCACCAGTTCTTCCCTGCAGAATGGTCTTTGTAGAGTGGCAGCTCCTTGCCTCTTCGTGGTGTGATTAGCGAGACGTGAGATATGAGGACTGAAGCAGCAGCACAAGCACTAGTGGAAAAGAGAAATTTGCCATGCTCCAGACAGGAGTGTGGTGTGTGAGAGCTTTTGAGTCAAAATCTGGGTCTCTGCTGGGGTCGCATCCAGAGCTGGTATATATTGCCAATTCCTGTGTTACTTGTTTGAATTAAGAGTGAGGCTTATTTTTCTTGTTTAAACTTTTATTAGAAACCAGCACAAAGACAGCTGCAGGGATGTGCTAAACTCCTGTTTCTCATCTGTTCTCTTTTCTCAGTTCTTTACTCCTGTATTGCTGTTCTGAGAGTCCAGTTTATTGCTTTTGGTGGTGGTTGTGAGGAACAGAGTTATCTTTGCTCAAAGCCCATCTTTCCATTGCTTTCACAGTAGGATAACAAGGTTCCCAGATAATGACATCCTATGGAGTAGGCAACCTTCTGGATTTTGTTGTTGTTTTTTTTTCTTCAGAACTCTACAGTGGGCAAATAGAGGTAAAGATGAGCCCCATTTCTGGTGAGCCATAGGGGTTGTGGGGTGCGCTGGCTCAGCAGGACATGCAGAGATACTCAATTCGCCATTTGCAGTGGTCTCTCGCATGGCTTGTGCCTCACTAGTCATCTGGAAAAGAAGACTCCACTCCTGGCCATGAGGTTGCAGCAAGTGGTTCATTTCTCCCTCTTCCTTTAAAAAAATTTTTTTAAACCATTAACTTCAGAATTCAATCCTGAAGCATCTCCAGGGCAAAGCAGAAAATACATTCTGTGTTTCCAGCCACATGGATAGCGGGAGTCTGGCTGCAGCCACTCGGTGAGTAGCACATCACGCTGCTCCATCGCCGATTGGGTGCAGCAGCGTGTAGCGTCACATCTGATTAGCGCTGTGCCAGTGAATGAGGCTTGAGTGAGGATTCCCTGCCAGCTCTGACTTGTCTCATTTCCCATTACTTTTATCCGTCACCACAAATGCCGAGTCTCCCTCCTGAACTAATGAAGTTTTCGTGTGTTTAGACACATTGCCAAATAGGGTTTAGCAAAGCAGAACTGAGCATCTCTTTTTAAAGAGGGAAGGCAGAGAGCTGAAACAAGGCTGCTCAGGAAGGGAGATAGAGCCTCAGAGATGTTGAACGTCTAGGAGGTATGCCGGGGAATCACCCCATGCTTCCCCACAAGACTTGCGGCATAGCTGATGCCCTTTGTTACCATGTGGAGACCATGCACTGGGCATGGAAGGCACTGGGGCAGTGGGAAGGGAGGTGGTGCTGCTTGTCTACGTTTGGAGGAGTGTGTTGGTGGAAGCATTGCACAGTAGAAACCCTGCTGGGTTCCAGAGGAATTTGGGACAATGAGGTGAGTGCAGTGCTTCCTGGCTTAGGGAGTGGTGACTTGGGGCAGGCCCATTCCTAACTCTGCTGCTTCTTTTCTCAGCATCCTTAGAAATGACAGCTACTTGCACAGCTGTCCATGAAGCAAGCTGCCAGTCCTCTTAGCCAATGTCTCGTGTGGTTTGGAGTTCCTGTTCTCTGTTCTTCTTAGCTTGGCTGTTGGTGGAGAAACCATACAGCCTTGTTCCTGGCTTTTCCAGCAATGACCTGGGCATTTAGTTTGGCTTCTGTCTGCATGTGCTGTTGAAGAGGTGAGGCATGGTATCTTCCAGACAGGCCTGTCCACTGCGGGTGTTTCCAGTGTGTGTGTCACTGGTAGGTGCCAGGTCACCAGGAGGGACAGTGGAGTGAGCAAGCTGGATCAACGGTAGTGGCTGGAACAAAGAAGAGGAATATACAAGCCTGTCAGTGGTGGATGTGGGGACAAGGTTAGCAAATAGCCCTGTCAAAACCAGGAGTTGCGATACGTGTAGCTCTCCTAGGTCAAAGAAGAGCATCAGAGGAGTAGCAGTAGTCAAGGTCCTGCTCTCTGCTGATGGTGTCTAGCACTGTCTGAGTCTGCAAGATTCAAGATGGAAACTCAGCTACTAAAGGACCTGCGAAGCCTCTGCTTGGTTCAGGGATCCTCAGGGAATGAGGCACTGGGTGGCTGCAGACTTCATTTCTCTTGAACATTGGAGCTTTCTTGGAAGATCACAGAGCTGTTTGTCTGGCTTCCCCCTGACAACAGGGAGCACTAGTCGCAAGGAGCTGGATGCCCAGAAGAAGTTGAGGTCCTCGGCCATGCTGACAAAGGCTCTGTCATGGGTGTGATGCAACACCAGAAAGAGATTCCCCGTTGAAGGGATTTGGTTGCTGCCAGAGAGAGCCCATTGCATGAGAGGGCTCGGGAATGGAGCGCTGATCCTCTTCTGGCTGCGGTTGGATCAACCGACTTTCTGCGCTCAGTGTGTGTGAACCAGGCTGGAGTATCAGCAGCTCTCCTGCTGCCCCTCCCCTTCCCTCTTGTTAAGATGCAATTTCTTTAATGAGGAAAACCTCTGGAGTAGGAACATCACCTTTCTGAAGGCTTGTCCTGACAAGGCAGTTCAAGCCGACAGAGTCGCATATCAACTTCAGCAAATATCAGTCACTCATTACAGAGACTCTTCTCCCCCCCCACCCCCCAGCAACACCCCTCATTCCCAGACAAGGGAATGAATCACACTCCTGCTCTTGAATACATCATGACAAGTCGTGGTTCTAATGAGAGAGGGCCATTCATTCTGGGTGGAAAGTTCCCTGTGTCGACACAGAAATGTTATTAATTAAAGAGAGCTACCTGAAGCAAAAGATGAAAGGACCACCAGACCTGCCAAGCTAAAATATGAGGGGGGATACAGCCTCGTTAGGCAGACGGTCCTCGGGCCTCCGAGTGATCAGCAAACTTTAGCCTGTTGCAAGGAGCTATCCTCCAAGTTTAACAGCTCCAGGGCCAGATTCAGACACCTGGTGTAGTCTCCTTTAGCGCTTGGGCCTCATCCTGCACCTAGGATGGAACTGTCACTAGTGATTAAGTAAGTTGCATTGATGCGGCATTAGGTGGTGAGGGTAACGTGCCTCTGAAGGGCTGAGGGAGCTGCTGACTGCAGGAGGCAGTTTTAGTGGAAAAGAGGGTACTCGGTGTCTGCCAGGGTTGAGCCCTTGTAATGTAAGCTCTTTAGTGTGGTTTATCTCCTCTGAAATGTCAAATTGCCTCACTCCATGTATGGAACCAGTTTGCCTGCTCTTAAGCACAATGTGAATTAATCTTGGCAACTAAAGAAGCATTTCTACTCTGTGTTCATAGCTACAGAGCTCAGATATGGTGGGGTTAAGGGATATACCCATGGTTGTGCAGGCAGGCAGAGAAAGGAGCTGAAGGCACATGTGCTGAATCTCAGACCTGCACCTTAATGTCAAGAGCATCATTCTGCAAACACATTGAACATACATAAACATGCATGGAGGCTTTGGTCCAACGTGAAGATGCTTGCACAACACTTACTATGGCTGATCAGAACATGCTAATTTATGTCTTTACAGAAAACTACTGCTCAGAAGTTTTTTATTTTCTTAAGTAAGTGTTAAAAGGCAAGTACTCTCTAATATAGTGATAAAACACAGTGAAGTGTCTTGAAATGTTTATAGCCCTTGGTGCTCTTCCTAGGTTGCATATTAGTAAATTCTAAGCAGTAAATTATACCATTGCTCAATTTTGTCTTACTGTTTTAATTCTTTCTTTGCAAGTTGTAGAGGCTGGGAGGATGCTTGCCTTCTCAGACCAGCTCCGAGTGTGGCAATGGGTTGGTCTTTCCAGCCTTCTGTACTGGAGGCTTAGTTTGAGATCAGCCTTAAGTCATGAATGAAGAAGCATTAATGGTGTTAGTGTCCCTTGTGCATGCTGTTCTTCATCACAGTACTGAGAGGGGGTTGGTAGCTTCTCCTTGGGGGGGAAATTTCTGACAGACACTGAATGGAGTTAGTGGGGCTGCTTGGGTAGTTGTGGGGAAAGGCAGAAGTTGTAGGGTGGGCTGGTTCGGTGGCAGCAGGGCAGGAGATATGTTCAGAAGGTGACTCTGAGAATAACAAGAAAGAGCTGGTAAAGGAAAGA